GGGGGGGGGGGGGGGGGGGGGGAGGAGGGACGGCCACTTAGGTCCAATATGTGCCCACTTCTAGGCTTCTCCAACCTTCACTCCCCTATGCTGTCCGCTATTTCACAAGGTGGAGCTTTTGGCAAAACAAATTTAAAAAATTAAAAAAAAAAGAAAAGCAGAACCTGGGGATGTCAAAAATGATCACCTTAAACATAACCGCTTTCATGTAATAGAAGAGGAAAATGATCTCAGAAAGGCGCAGTACTGGTCTAGGATCATTGCGTTGCCTTAATAGGAGACCCACTATTGGCTTACCCAGTAGCCATGCTCGGCTCCCTGGCTAGGGTCCGTTGTATCCTGTCTCTCTCTGCCTCTGCTGTTGGTGAACTAACTCAGTGATATCACGACAATGCCTCTGGCCATTGCCACTGGCCTGAGCAAGCCATGGTGCTTTTTCTTCACTTTGTGATATACTTTATAATTAGGGTGATGACTGCATATCCTAATTTGCCCGGATGGTCTCAGTTGTCACATGTATTTATTAATATCATGCTTCCTCTCCCACTGTCCCGAATGTCCAGTATTGTAGAAATCAATCACGGTCACTCTCCTACAGTATGGAACAAGAACTCATTGTGAGCACGCACCACCTACATTTGTCATTGTGTTTGTTCTTTTCGGTGCAAAGTCCATAGCAGCATGTTTGATTAGAGCCATGAGTTCCATCCCGAAGAACCTCGAACGGCTTATTCCTTTTGCTGTGTTACATACATGAAACATACATAGACGTGCCTGTCCCACCCATATATTGCTATATCTCAGTCTTTGGAAACTTCAATTTGGCCTAAACAGAATTTGACTTTTTTTCTTTAAGATTTTTTAAAAAAATGTTTATTTTTGAGAGAGAGAGAGAGAGAGAGAGCATGCAAGCAGGGGAAGGGGGATCTGAAGCAGGCTCTGCACTGGGCAGCAGCCAGTCCAACGCGGGGATCTAACTCACAGACCGCGCGAACATGACCTGAGCCAAAGTCGGACGCTCAACCGACTGAGCCACCCAGGCGCCCCCAGAATTTGAATTCCAGACGGACTTACCTTTCCTGGCATTTGATTGTGGAAGTCAGTCAGGATGAACCTCTTGCTTGTCCATTGCCTTTGGGTCTTGCGTATGTCCACATGGCGGGCACACAAACACACGGGCAACTGTGTGCAATAATCTATATCCATTTCTGATGGCGGGATGGGGGGGGTTATGAAAATCACATGGGCTCTTGCTTTCATTATCACACATTTCCGCCTCTGAAAATTTGACGGTGCATCGCAATAATTTTTAGCAGAAAGGAAAGACATTTAAAAGTCTCAAACTACGAAAAAAATTCTTAATTTCCTCCACCTCAAAATAACATTTGGCTAAAATTCAGCACCATGTGATGCTCGGAACCATCTGAGAGGATACTCGTTTGCAGAAAGTGGGTCTCGTCTTGTGTCTCAACCTCCTCTTTGATGTTGATGGGAGCCTTCGTCTATGCGACCAGCGTTTCTTTAGCATTACCTTTGTCTTTTCAAGTTACCTTAACGATACCAAAGCAACGGGAATAATTAGGAAGAAGTCACCCCATCCTAAGTTTCTTCCGGATGTTCTGCTTTGACAAAAAGAAAGGAAAAGCGCATGAAAATGTCATGCAGGAAGACAGGCTTATTAAAAGCTTGGAGCTATAGAACATAGAATCGCAAACTTGATGACTTGATTTCCGTGCTGCCTTTATTGATCACTTTATTCTTTAGGACAGAATGGATAGGAGGATGCATCGGATTTCCAATTATGAGTCCCACCTTCGAGAATTGAGCCTGTCGAGTTACCCAGCGATGATTCTTGTCCCTTCTCCCCCATTAAAAAAAAAAATGTCACTTCCCAAGGCTGATAAACACCGCTTGGTGATTGGTCCTCAATGGATCACTTTTTAGAAAATGAAATGTCAACCCCTTGCCCTCCTATTGATTCTTCTTTAGTGTCGGCCATAAAGCTGTCACGGAAAAGCCGCCTGGAGCCAGGTAGCTGACAGGCTTTGCACCCGCTGATGCACACTCAGCTGCTTGTCCTCCGCACGCAGGCTGTGTGTTCTGTCACGCCGCAGTACAGATGTTTCAGTGCGACAAGAACAGGTGAAGAGGGAGGAGATGGGTTGTGCAGACAGAAGTCTGGTCTGTGCTTTCAGTGCGAAAGGTAGTAAGCGGCACCCCCAAATGATCTCGCCGACCAGTCTGGAAACCAACCCCTGGAATATCCTGGCTGGAAAATGATAGGGCTGCTGCTTAACGTTTTAGAGCCACAGAATGTTGATGGCCGAGTCAGTGCTAGAGACGGAGAGACCCCCTTTTAAGGTGATCCCCCTCCAACGGAGGCCCACATGATGCCATGTGAGATTTTTTTTTTAAGAAGTAGAGGGCAGGGACCCACACAGCGAGAAAAGTTTCAGCCCTTCTGATCACCTCAAAGAAAAATCTGTCTGGTGCTAATTTGTCATTGAGGAAAGAGGAAACGGCCTCAGGCTCACAGCTGGTATCTTGCTAGAATTTTTTTTTTTTTCCCTTGATAGCAATTGTTTCATTTACTATATTTCCTTTCTACTGAGAAGCCTGAGCTGTAGGCGAGCCAGGGTAATCTCCATTCCTTTCTCAGTGAGAAGATCCCCTTTTTCCTTTCGGCCAACTTGCGTGTATAAACCATTCAGGGAGCTCAGAGAAAGCATCAAACCCCCACATTTATAAACTTTATTTACGTATTTGAAATGATACGCCGAGTACGTTGGCTTAAGACGTATTGTATGTTTTTACCACCCACGTGATCTTAAGCTAACTACCTTACATTTTTTTAGAAGCGTCTACGGTCCGTGTGTCCTCCGGCCCTTGAGTTGTAATTAGAAGACCGTGTCAGCTTTGTGGGCACACAGTGTCCTTGCTGCGGGGCCGTGTACGTGCTGTTCGCCTTGTATCTATGCGATGCTGTCCCTAGAAAGTTTCTCCCAAACCACGCGTGTGCGTTCTCTCAGAAGCATGACACCGTGTCCCCATACTGCTGCGGGTATTTATTTGTGGTCTCCGCAGTGGAACCACTTTATTGCTAGCTAAAGTGATTTTTGAAAGGACTGTTAACAATGACATCATAAAATGCAGCGAGAAGGTCATCACCTCCGGGACTGATGATCGAATGTGTTACGTTTCTCTGATCCCTGCTTCTTTATTCGTGATTTCATCAGGTTATCCCAAATACTATTAATCTGGGTTGCTTTAGGCCAGTGTGCCCTTCCCCCAAATAATATTTGATTATTCGAGAAAAACTTCTAAGAAGAGGCTAGAATACAAGATGAGTCTCTCCTCTCTCTTTTGGTGATCAGAGACAAGTATTGCCTGATAACCAGGCATGGAGGTTTTGTACTGACTTTCTAATGATGGCTGGTTCTACTGGGTTATTGTTATGTCCATTCATGTTGGGGTATGCTGACTGTCCCCTTTTTATTAGAATTAAAGAAAAAAACAAGTGAATTGATTCTAAGAAAATAAATGAGGTGGTTGCCGCAAGATTTCTGAAAACATATATACCCGTGGCTCTGGTGTACGAAACTACTTAATTCTAACACTGGGATCTTCTGTATTAGGATCTCGAGGCCTGGCGAGGAGGTTAAACAATTAACTAAACCAAGGTCCCACAGCTACTTAGTCGCCTGATCAGGACAGGAATCCATCTTCCCTGGCTACCGATACTGGCATAGATTATTTTCATGTCTTCCGAACTGAAAAAAACTGACCTACGTCAAAAGCCCACGCGGACGGTCCGAGCGGACCCCGATCTCAGGAGTCTCAGGGCTGGTGGGAGCAGTCGCAGTCTGTAAGTTCATGTGCACGCCTAACGCACACCATAAAGTCAGACTTGGCACGTTGATTTTGTCTTCGAATGAAGGCCACGATTTTCCACTTTGGAGCTAACTGTTCGCGTAACGCTGAGCCAGTTCCCATTCAGTCTGTATCTATCTTGCCTGGTGTCCTAATTGGAATATTATGATCACATAAGAATGAATGCACTCAAATGTTAGCCTCAATTGGCTCTGATGGAGTCATGTAAATTCATACAATGAGGGGGCAGATGGTACTCTGGGAACATTTCTAAACAACTTGCGTGCAATTGTACGGTTCAATTCCAACCATTTCAAAATGTTGCTCATGAAGAACATTTAGACATCATTTGGTGCAAGAACAATGACAGCTTAAGGAAGGGGAAAAAGAAGGATAGCCTCTATGAATCTTCATGGGTGATGCCATTAAATGCTGCAAAGGGTCCTCCTGGAGCCGTGCTGGTTATTACATTGCTTTATCTTCTTTAATCTGCACTTTAGCTGAATAAATTACTTACCTTTTGCTAATTAGTTTTGGAACAGTGAACCACATCAATCAAATCCATCCACTTGATCAGGGAAGTTAGTATTTTAATAAAAGCAGGGTTTTCCTGTGCTGGGCCCCTGCCACGCTCCCCCTCCAAGGCTTTGTTTGTTTTATTGAATAGTCAAGGTGCCAGAAGGACACATGGGTTGGGAGGGCAGTGCTTGGGGCTCACGCTGTTCCTCAACAATGCCTGCTAATACCCTGATTCCGCCCCCCTTTTGACGGAGGGCTGGGGAGGGCTCAGCTCTGCCTCCCAGCTCCACCTGAAGGGGAGGCTTTCCTCTCCCTCCTGCAGATGAAAGGTCCCGGCTTCCTTCTGGAGCATTCACTAACAAGCCCCTCCCCGCCCACCCCACCCTGTTACAATCAGATTGCCCAAATCCCAGGAATTAGAAGATCTTCAGCAACAAAGGATTCCTTCTGCCATTCAGGTGATCGGCCTTGGATGTCAGTTTAGAGTTAGCACTTTTTAGGCTGTGTGGTTTCCTCCGGCCTGGCCAACCCAACTTCAGTGGGCTTTCCTGGAACGCTAACGTACACTTTGTCCAACCCTGAGCCAAGGAAAAAGAGTCATCAGGTGACACAGATGGATCCTGACTTGGGCATTTCCTTTTCCAGTGTATCATGGAAAAGCTAATCAGGCTACCATTCGTCTTTGAACAGTAATGTCTTGTGTTTCTTTCCCAGCATTTTCTGGACTCCTGGAGGGTCCTCTCCAAGGAACACTGCAAGTCAAGAAGTTTCTTTAAAACTACACCTTCCCCTCTAATTTACTTCCTCCTTCTATGTTTAGAAGTCTGAGGAGGGGGTGGGCGTGGCCACCTTATAATTAATGATCCCTGCCATTTTGCATTTCCTCTGGCTTTGCACATATTTAATGGAGGTGCTTGATGTAAAACAGATAACTGCACTCCTGGACAGCTGGAGGCCCTTGTTTCTGTTGGGATATTTCAGGGTCTTTTTGACCGACTCGCTGGCCATTTAAAGTTGGTACCAAAGCTCTCCTCTGCTCTATGCATTGTTTTGCTTCTTTAAAGGAAAGACATTCAAATCAGTATTGGAAATCTTAAGTGGTTCGAGAGATATACTTGTAATTTTAGATCATGCTTTTAGGAACGCTGATAAGATACAATCGCACAGACTGGCAGGACCCTATCACACCCCTGGGACCTCGCCACGCGTTTCCCTGACATAAAATCTTGTTTTCATAGTCCCTGACCTAACACTTCTATTTCCTTTAAAAGGGGAAGGGGGCGGGGAGGGGCCGACTACATCTCCCATCCAGACGCTTGGTTTCGGGACATTTCGACGTGTTGTGTTTCCTTGACGAAGCAATGGCTTTTCAAAGCGGTGGAATCCAACTTAAGTGGATATACTGATATAAAATACAGTATTACTTAAAATAACTCTCATCAGATATCTTGATATAACTTCATCTCCACTACGAGGGGCATGCGAGATAGTGAGCAGATCAGGGGAGACGCACTCCTGTCCTTGCTAAGAGGGTCGTGGGTGAATCGCTTGCCCCATGTGCTGTGGAACTGAGCATGTTTGTCTGGCTGCCTACTTCCCTGGGGTTGTCGTGAAGATAGGATTCAATAATAGACACGATGGCTCTTTAAAAAGTTGAAAGCAAAGTAAAAATGCAAGAATTCTACACGCTTGTGTAAGAATGAGTGACTGAGGTCTCTGTTTACCAAGCTGCTTCCTGCTTTGTAAACAGTTAGCGGAGGGGATGATAATGTGTCCGGAACACTCTGAAAAGTGAAATGCGGTGTACAAGTGGAAGGTGGTATTACTTGCAGGGAAATGACAACGCACAGAGAGACATCTGCAGGCCCTGAGGGCCCGATCGCAGAGCTGGATCCTGCACCGAGGACAATCAGGAGCTGATGGGGGACCGTGATGGGACCGCATCTCCGGTTGTCCAGTTCGGCCCCGTTAGGTTCTCTGCTGTTCTCTCTTTTACAGGATCATCCCACCCTTCTCTACTTTTTCAAAGTTCAGGGTTTCAGGGGTCCAGACTCTGATAGGACCACACTGCCGAGATGCTTTATGGCCTCAGTTTCCTCATTGTAAGAAATCTGGACTTAACTTGTCTGTAAAGCTCCTAGAAACTAGGAGACGATTATAAACTCCAGTGAACGCCAGTGCACTTTACATTTGGGACAGAAACACAAACGTACACATCTTATTCACTTATTTGACCTCATCGTCCCCCAAACTTTAGAAATCCGTTATACCAACTGAGTTGAGCTTTTGATTCATTTCAGTGATATACACACATACACATATATATACACACAGGCATGCATATATAACGTATCAAAATTATTGATTTAAGATTTATACGTATTCAAGATTTCTGACTCCCAAGACTTTTGTAACACCCAAAGCTCATTTCTTTAGGACATTTAGAGCAGAATACCAAATGTGAGACCATACGCCATTTTTTTGGAAAGAGATTTCGGCTACAAATGGAAACTTCTCATTTTTACTCTTTCAAGTTTTCTACAAACTCTTAAGGAACGTGATCAAGTAGAAAGCGCAAATATTTACCTTTTAAATTTTCATTAATAATTTAGGAGTTTGTAAGCAGCAGCTGAAACCAATAACCACAAAAGTATTGTTTTAAGAATATCATAATATGATAATGAGGTTTTTGTCAATAACCACAAAACTATTGTTTTAAGAATATCATATAATATGATAATGAGTTTTTTTCTGGTAGTGGTTTTTGTGGTTGTAGCAACAGGACTTACTTTACTTATCACATACTGAACATTATCGCCATTTGATTTATCCATAATTCACCCATGGAAACTTATTTTACTTTGGAATATGTATGGGAAAACTAGCCAATAAACTTATAATCTATCTTCAATAAGAGAAATTGATTCTGGAGATTTGAAATTATATTATAAAATATTTGCTTTATCACCTTAGTTTCTAACATTGTGGGTAAGAGCAGAGACTCTGGGGCACCTGTTTAGTGCAGTTGGTTAAACGTCCAGCTCTTGATTTTGGTTCAGGTCATGATCTCACAGTGGTGAGATCAAGTTCTGCTGAGGGCTCCACAGCCCTCAGCTTAAGATTGTCTCTCTCCCCTCCCCCACTAATGATTTCTCTCTCTCAAAAAAAAAAAAAAAAAAGCAGAGACTCACAATCAGTTCTGATTGTGTTTGAAACCATTATTCACCAGCAAACTTTCCATAAACCTCAGTTTACTTGCCTGTGAAATGTGCACAGTATTTTTATTTGCCTGACTTATATATAGTATGGTAGCAAAGAACTTATCTTGTGGCTTACTACTTTTGAAAATAATTGTGTGTGTGTTTTTTTTTTAATTTTTAATAGACGGAGTAAATACAGTAAAGCTAAACAAGAAGCAGATGAAGAGAAACATTTGAATCAAGGTACAAAAATTGGATTAAGAATAAATTTTATTTTTAGACTCTGTCTCGTGTTTTCAGTTTAGAAATGCCTGCATTAAATTCATGTGGCTATCAGTATTATAGCTCTTTCATAGAATTATCTAAGTAATGTCCTTATTTCCCACTGAAATAAGTGATTTGGGATTGTTTTGAGTGAGGTTAAAGATGGGGGTTGGGGAAACTTCCTTTCGATTCTTCTTATTCCTTATTTTACTGTCTACCCTGAAAAAGTATTGGTCTTGCTGGTCATTTGTGTAGCTGGGTGACAAGGCTTAACAGGTGACAATTTTTCTCATCTTTGTAAGATACAGTTTTTGGAGAGGAAAAGAACAAGGAACGAACAGTAATCGCTCTACCCCCAACAATATGTGCTGTGGCATTCAGGACTACTAATATCTCTTTAGTGGGTTCTGCTTATTCGGGGGTCAAAGAATAAGTTCAAAGAACTGGCCCTAGAATGACTTGACGAGGTAGAAGATTCTTAAGATCCAATAGAACGTTTTGAGATGATGGCGTTGTCCTCTACCTGCTCTGTCCAACACATCAGCCAGTAGCCACGTGCACTACTGAATACTTGAAAAGTAGCAAGTGTGAATGAGGAAGCACGTTTTTAATTTCTTTGATTTTAAGTAATTTACATGTAAATAGCAAGGTGTGGCTAATAAGTGCCCTATTGGACAGCAGCACAGGGAGGTGGAAGGAAGAGAGAAACTAGGGGTAGGAAGAATCATCTTGAGAAAGATTTTCTTGGCTACAGCATATAAAGCAATAAAGGCTATGGAATGTCTGACAACCTTCCATTTAGTCACCTTATTTTCTTTCTAAAACCATATTTTTAAAATTTGCATGCGGTATATATATTTTTAAAAACAAACGTGACTTTTTTTTTTTTTTTTTTAATTTAAATGAGATGATGAGGACAAGACTGATAGTTCCGGAAAATCAAGGAGATTAGGCCAACCAGTGCCCTACCCCCTTTCTGTGCCCCAAAGCCCTAGGAGCTCTGGCAGGGAAAGGAGGGGTCCCAGGAATTACTGATGCTTCTTGTCCCCGCAGCCCTGGGACATTCTGAATTTCGGCTGCGAGTTGTCTGTGGGGTTTGGCTGAATGACACCTCCTGATATTCCAACCATTCACAACGAGGCTGTAACATTTTCTCCAACTGCAGCTTTCGGATGACCTTCAGTGTCTTTACTTATAACACCTTCTTTCCAAAGCAGAATAAATGTGGAAGCCCAACACAGCGTGTATATTCTCCAGTCAGCTAGCTAGCATTGTCCCTCTTATCTATTTTAACCTAGCTTTCATCTTCATTTGTTAATTATCGGTCACGTGCTTAATTGGTCCCGATATCGGGCACCGTGTAAACATGGCCGATTAAGAAAGGAAGTTGCCATTATCTTCCCTGAGCAAATATAGCTGCAGATGGTGGGTGGGACACGAGCAACCGACTTGCACAAAGGTATTCAGCTTAACACATCCCAAATTTTCTTGTAGAGACTCTCTTTTCCTCCACGGGATGGCTTGTTTTTAAAATTTCCTCCTTGAAGGGTGAAGACATTCCAGGAAGTCAGTAGAGCTGTGGCCTCTTAAGTAGCTACCAATTCTTTGTTTACCCACTAATGAAAACCAGAGCAAGAGTTTCAACATTTCTGTATGTCTATCGCTAAGTATGTTTGTCATGCTAAGAAAACTTCCTCTGCTAAATATTTTTAGACGCGGACAACTTAAGTTCGTTAGCGGTTTCTGAGAAGTATTCTGCCAACCTGTCACGTGTTTATTGCTTAGGTGTTAGAACTTACGTGGACCCCTTTACCTATGAAGATCCCAACCAAGCAGTTCGAGAATTTGCCAAAGAAATCGACGCATCCTGCATTAAGATTGAAAAAGTCATAGGAGTTGGTAGGTGTTTGAGTGTCTCTCTAACAAGCAAGCCTGTTTTCTTTGTGGACATTAAATATACCTATGCGGATTATACAAACGTGTACGAACATATCGCGTGTACAGGTATGTATGTAAATATCTGTGTACGTGAAATTCCCTTGATCTATGTAAAACATTAGCAGAGTGCCTGGCGTGTAAGTAGCAACAAATGTTAGCTCTTGCTTTCATCTTGAATGTGTTTCTGGTCCATCGTTGATTCGTTTTCTCTCCCAAAGGTGAATTTGGTGAAGTATGCAGTGGGCGTCTCAAAGTGCCTGGCAAGAGAGAGATCTGTGTGGCCATCAAGACCCTGAAAGCTGGTTATACAGATAAACAGAGGAGAGACTTCCTGAGTGAGGCCAGCATCATGGGACAGTTTGACCACCCGAATATAATTCACTTGGAAGGCGTTGTCACCAAATGTACGTGGGGCACTCCTTTCACAAAGCCAAGTTAGAAGTTCCTGGCAAATTAAACACACATTTTCTTTCCAGGAAAATGACAGATGGAGCAGACCCACTGATTGCTAATGGGAGGAAATCAGTGCAGGACAAGTCATTAATCTTGCAGTCAGCTCTCAATGGGTCTATGGTTTAGGCTGATACCCTATTTCCAAGGCAGCTTGTGTGAGATTTTAGGGAAATTAATATTGCAGATTTTTTGGTATGCCTCGCCATCTTTCAAACCTTTGCTAGACCAAACTGATTGTCACAGGGTAGGCGCAAGCAGATGGTAAGCAAAATAAAATTTAAGTACTTTTCGTATGAAACACAACAAAAGCTCGCCACGCCTCGTGCTCGAACCTTCAGTTCCAGATGCAGGGAGTGAATCTCGGAAGTCTATTTACAGTAACACCTGGTTGAACCTTCCTTTTTTAGCCCATTAGCATTCGCGGAGCCTGCGAACCACGCTTCGGTTAAAATACGACACAGCTCAACAGATGCATTTTGTGAAGCAAACCCTGAATACATCTGCAAGGCTGGCTAAGACCCATTTTTAAGGCACCACATGGACAGTGAGCTGAAGCGGTTACTACTGAAGGGTGGCTCTGTTCCAGGAGCCGCAGTACCTACTATTTCACTACACGGCAAAGATCTTATAAGCCCCGGGGCCGTGTCTCCAGGAAGGCCAAGGTTCCTCTCACTTGATTCAGGGTGCCTGTGAAAAGCACCCTCAGTGAACACGTGCAGAGTGGGTAAAAGGGAGCCGTGGGGAGAGAAGAGTAGGTTAAAAGAGTAAAACTTTGGCCATTAGCTCTGGGGTAGAGCAGAAAGTAAGACCCAAGAGCACATCATCTTTTAAGATGAGACAATAAGGAGGTTCCTAAAAAGTGAGAGAAAGTGTGCCTTCATTCAGAGGTCCTCCTCAAGCTTAAACGTCCATCAGAATTCTGGAAAACGTGTTCAAACAGTTTCCTGGAGCAGGTTTTATTCCTCAGGTGGGGTGGGGCCCATGCGTTTACATTTCTAAAGATCTGGAAGGTGAGGCAAAGGCTTCGGGGCACCGGACTCGGAGACTCCCGTGTCCACGCCACTGCTAGGAAAGCATGTGGTCGTGAGCAGTTAGTTGCTCAAGATTTCAGTTTCCTCATCTACAAAATAGAGATGAAAATAGAACTTGCCAAAGAAGGTTATTTTGGATGAAAGACTTCCCGTGTTTAGCATAATGCTTGGCGAATTTAAACAACAGAAAACTTCCCTCAGTGTTAAATGGTAACGCTATGTCTTAAGAAGTACACCTCTCCCCATCATCAGAATCCCTCAAAAACGGAACCTTGGTGCTAAGGGTATATGATTTCCCACCTAAGGCGAAGGCTATGATTAGCACAGAATACCTCTCTTTGCTTTTTAAGATTAGTTTTGCAGACAGGATATTTTTCTGTTGCCCGTTGGCCTTCGGAGCTGCCCAGAGCCCTTCACTACCTTAATTGAAAGATAACATTCTGTTTAAATACTTCTGCAGGGGTCCAGTTTCTCAAAAGGAGGCTCTGTTCAGCTTGGGGTGTCTTTTCCTGCTGCAGACAGTGATTTTCGTAGCACCTCTGCAGAAGAGAGAAGAATCAGGGGATCTCTGTATTAAAGTCCCACCGCGCCTCTAAAACCCATAGCTATTACAGCTGTAACTGTTATAAACGACTGGATGCATTTGCATAATGCAGTTGTCACTGAGTTAAAATGATTTAAAATTTCCACCAGAGGAATTGGCCCCTTCCCCCACTCCACCCCCCCACCCCCCCACCACGTCCCTGCCTGTTTCAGGGGAGGAACCACCTTCCCTCCGTGAGCCCAGCTGAGCCCCATTTTATAAGCCCCTCTGCTTACGGAGACATTCGTCTTTATTTCTCTTGGAGAGCTCATAAAGATTCTGACAAATGGATACTTTTAATAAACAGAAGAAGGAATGTAGAAAAATCGTGAAGACCTGCCAACAGTCAGAGGAGGGAGGTGCGAGGGCACAAAGGTGATGTGGGAGCGTGTGAATTCATTACCAGCAGTTACTTGAAGAACTTTTTAAACTGATGGGGAGATGATACATTCCCTCCACCACCCCTCTCCCCGCAACTCTCTTCTGGGGCTTCTACTCTCTTGTCCACACCTCCAGAGGGATCTGGTGAGGTAGAAGTAGGTGTTAATGCAAGAGAGTCCATTTCACTCATTGGTTGACGAAGTATCTTTTGATTGAGTTGGGTTCATTACAGCTCACTTGGATGCATTTGGTCTGTCCGTGGCCGCAGATGTAGAGGGTACATGAATCTAAAACAGAGAGCTTCGGGGCACCTGGGTGGCTCAGTGGGTTAAGCATCGACTCTTGATTTCGGCTCAGGTCATGACCTCAGGGTTGGTGGGATCGAGTCCCCCACCGGGCTCAAGCACCGAGCCTGCCTAGGAGTCCCTCTCTCTCTGCCTCTCCCCACACCCTCCGTACTTTCTCTCTCTCTCTCTCTCTGTCAGAATAAATTAATAAAATTAACTTATTACAAATGTATTTAATAATTTATAAAATAAGTAAAGCAAAGAGCTTCCTATTTATTATATTGAGGGAGAACAGAAAAGGTGTTCTGAGATGACTCCCTCCAGCTGAGGGGAAAGACCGGAAGTGGTTTTCCTCACCCTTTGTTTTTTGTTTT